CCCACCTTCATTTCTGCCCACATTCTGTGCCCTGGTTCCTGCTCCTGGACCATCACTGTAGTTTCAAACCCCAGCCTAGGTTTTGGACTCTCTGAACATGCTTGCCTTGAATTGCTTTCAACTTGCCTAAATTTCTGGCTTAGATCATCATCATGTTAAGAACACAACATTTCCCTTTGGATGATTCATAGACTATGTCTTGATGTAACCACTGTGGTTTGCAAGTATTAGCAGCCTTCGGGTCAACAGGCAATAACTATTTATCTAACTAATTTGACTATTCCCTTACTGTGCATATTCAGTAGATCCCAACAGAATCATTTTGGGATGACATAACAAAACTATGTTTCTTCTTAGGATAAATCATATTTATCCTAATTTTTGAGCTGGTTCACAAAAAACAATTACACTCAGATGATCACACTTCTCTTTTCAATTACATCTGGGAGTCTAATGGTAAAAAATGTTTTAAATTCTTCTATCAAGAAACTTGTGCCAACCAGAAAAGTGCAATACGGTGAAAAAGTTCACACCTACTTGATGATAGCTTCATGGGAGCGATAGTTCTCACAGAGCAAGATCCTGCATGGAAATTCTGCAGGGTAGTGTTCATAGAGACGGTCAAGTAATGAGACATGAAGATTTCTCTCTCTGGCAAATTCACTGTAGACAAAGGGACTAAGCTGCAACAGAAAAGGAAGAGGGGGGAGATAGATATTTAGCTTTATAATCGAATTACAATATTTGAGCAGAACATTACTTCATGCTGTACTGCCAAGTACCAAAAAAACTAATGGTAAATCTATAGAAATGGCATTAAATGTCAACCTACAATGGAACAAACCAATGAATAAATAGGATGAAATTTTATTCTTAGCTTACTCATTGTGCCTACAGGAAAAAAATTATCAATGTGAGTTTTCTACAGTTCCAAAGGTCAAAATAAAGAAGCCAAAGCTCAAACTGTACTTTTCCCTGTATTTAAGGCTGGAGGACATTTGTCTGCTTCAGCCCCAAGATGAAGACCAGAGAACCCAAGTCTTGCATTTGGTTACTTGATTCTCTCTGCAAGGCAGAGCACCCCATTCCAGAAGCTGTCACAGGAAAAGGCACACAGGCCTTCGTCCTCTTCTCATTCAAACAAATAGCCAAGCAATATCCAATAGCCATCATTTTAACATGAATTTAGCTCACTCCCAGTTAATGCATAGTAAGTAATAGTATTTCTAAGTTTTTAAATTGGACTAGCTTCTATTTCTGTGGCAGAGAGGAAGAACAGATGGAGAACTAAAACCATAATTAGGTGCAACAGAGGAAGGTCAAACCTAAACTACCTGGACATACCTTTATTACATAATAAGCATGTGGCTCTCAGATCAAACTCAAAGTTTGAGTTTTATAAGTTTCAGCTGCCAACGTTTAATGGATTTTTGGCTACCTTTCTTTTCCTAAACAACATACAGTGCAATCCAGTTCTTTTGGAGCAGGGTGGTGTAGGTTAGTGTCATTTCAGGTCAAGTGGAGATGCAATATACCATCTGGTGTGATTCCCACATTCAAATGGCATATTGAAGCAAGTGCCCCTATTTGGTCTAGCTTCTTCTGGCTGGAATTTATAATACTGTATTGTGAAGTAGTTTAATAAGTGAGCCACTTAAGGATATTGGCAAAGTGAATACTTCCTCTCCTCTTCGGCAGAAGGGCAGAGGAAATGAACTTTTTATATACTCCAGTAGACTGTCATTGATGTGCTGTGACAGTTAAATTCTTTTAGTTAATTCTTTGTCTTGTCTTAAAGGGGCCATGGATTGGGCTGCAAGCAGTTTCCTTTCTGACCAGCCCTTCAAACAAAGCAAATAACATTTATTTATTTATTTATTTATTCATTCATTCATTCATTCATTCATTCATTCATTCATTCATTCATTCATTCATTCATTCATTCATTCATTCATTCATTCATTCATTCATTCATTCATTCATTCATTCATTCATTCATTCATTCATTCATTCATTCATTCATTCATTCATTCATTCATTCATTCATTCATTCATTCATTCATTCATTCATTCATTCATTCATTCATTCATTCATTCATTCATTCATTCATTCATTCATTCATTCATTCATTCATTCATTCATTCATTCATTCATTCATTCATTCATTCATTCATTCATTCATTCATTCATTCATTCATTCATTCATTCATTCATTCATTCATTCATTCATTCATTCATTCACTCACTCACTCACTCACTTACTTACTTACTTACTTTAATAACTGATGCAGCACATCAGCAATGGTCTACTGCAGTCTATTTTTTTAGATATAACTTCCTCTTGCTCTCCACCAAGGAACAGAGGGTGTTCAATTTCTTGATATGCTGAATTGGTTTGCTTATTAAGTCATTTCACAATATCAGAAATCCCAACTAGAAGGAGCTTTGACAGCAAGAAGGCTCACTTCTGGTCTGTTCCCAGAAATCACATGCATTGGAAGTGGACCAAACCAGAGCAATCCTACCTGCACCAGAACAGTAGAAGCCCTGACAAGAGCTCAGAAAGGTGCAAATAGGAATGATCTGGGAAAATCTGGTTCAAGCCAATGATTATATCATGTAATCACCTGAAAAAAGAGTGAACCAACCCATCCCTGCAGCAGAGCAAACAGCAGGCTGAATGCCATCTGACTGTATCCGAAGAGTCTTGCAGCATACCAACTATACATTTGTTATGACATAAGCTTTCATGGACTTGAATTCAGTTGAATGGGCTCAACAGCTTATCATCACAAAGTGGATAATTAGACTCTAGTCTAACACAGCTTAAGAGATGCATGTCTTAGTATTTTAAGACCCTACAGATGTCTTTGTTGGTCATGGTGCAAGGTCACATGCCCACCTTTCTGGTAGCTGAATCATTTTATTGGTTGTTTTTGGCTCTGAGGTAGCACACAGCAGATTTGTGCTTCACTGTATACAGTTGACCTATTGTATATTTGGAAAATGATTTCAAAAATGATTGGGTCATTAAAGAACAATTGTATCACAGCACTTCAGGGTTCACATTTTTGTTCTTTAATATGGTCCAAAGTAATGGATTCAAAACTAGAAGAAAAAGATTTCAGCTAAACATTAGAAATAACTTTTAACAGGTTGGTGGACAACAGAATGGTCTACCACAGAAGCTGCTGGACTTATTTTCATTGAAAGTGAAGGTGGATGGAAATTGGATGGTCATCTATCTGGGATGCTTCAACTATGGGTTTCGTGTTTTATGAGGAGATCATACTCATTGCCAGGCTAAATCCACCAACAGTTCTACCAAGTGCAGACCCATTAAACTCAATGGGATTTAAATTAATTGTGACAAACAAGTCCTGTTAGTTTCAGTAAGACAACATTGGATTTAGCCTTTTGAAGGGGTCAGCAAAGTGCAGCACTCTAGATGTTGCTGGATTGCAGTTTCTACCAATCCTCATCATTGGCTATGCTGGCTAAGGCTGATGGGAGCTGTAGTCCATCAGCCTCTGCAGACCTAGTGACTTCCCCCGTCTTTTTATTCTTTCTCACTTGAAGTTTGTCTTCCACTCTTTCTTTACTATCGTCTGTTTATCAGTTGTCCAGTTGCCACTTATTTTTCTCTTGTTCTGACTAATTTTCACTTCTTGTTAACATTTCCTTCTTTATTTCTTACCCCCAGTTAAGTGAAACCCTGCCCTCCACCATTGTGCAGCAACCAGAAGATGACATGACTGTATTTGAATAAATGTAGATTGTTGTACATGGAAAAAAATAAAACATCGCCTGAATATAAGCCCTAGTGTTTGTTGTTTTTTTTTGAGCGAAAATTAATATAAGACCCTGTCTTATTTTCGGGAAAACACAGCACCATTTTAGGAAATGCTGGTGAGTGATGTTAATATTCATGTCAATCCTGCTATTGATCTATTTATACAACAGTTTCATAGCAGATTGTTTTGCCTAAACCTTTGTTGAAACATTCTTATTCATCAGTAGTACTCATTATCTATATTTTATTCTAAGTTACTGTAAACCTTTTAACTCTGAAGCTCTCCTATCCAGATATTATTTTGGCTATGTCCATTCATTTCCAGATCTTGCATCAACTTCAATAATGTTTGTTTTCTTTATCCTTTAACAATAAACAAGCTTTAACTTTTGTTAATAGCAGACTGTATAGACATTCGCTGTTTACTCTTCTAACCTATTCTGTCCAAAGGGCTCAGAGTGCAGACTGTATTATCATCTCATTCTAAAAGTAAAAACTGAGGATGAAAGAGAGAGTCCTCCCTAAGGCTAGAATTTGAATGGAGACCTCGTTGGCTTAGATTTCATTCTCTGAACTAGTGCATGACACTATCTATTGGAGGATTTGGTGCAAGAGCTGCTTTGTAATTTGCAAATACAAACTTGCCCTTTGTCAATTATATGTTTATTCTCTGACAAAAATTATATGAGCTAAGTTATACAATAATACACAGCCTTACTTGCATATGGTCTCCAGCCAAGACAATTCTTGTGTTTTTATTTGCTAGTGCTAGAGGCATAATAGTCTCACACTCCATTGCCTGTGCAGCTTCATCTAACAGAATATGTGTAAAAAACCCTACAAAACAGAAACAGACAAAATGTTAAGGACCAAGTGATAAAAGTAATGATAATGTATAAAAACATTTGGATTCAGTTCTGTGACACAGATTCAAAACCTAATCAACACCTATCTTATAAGATGGGTAGGTCTGGCAAGCTGTTTTCAGTCAATACATGATAAAAGATAATTTCTGTCTTTTGCTATCCTACTTTAGCTGAGACTGCCAAGGGTTTAAAATTAAAATATTTGTGGCAGCTGAAGGATCTCATGACAGAATTTTTTTAATGTGAAGATTGCATGTGGCCTGCTAAAATTCATTTCTCACAGACCCTGTCTGTGGTCAAACATGCTCACACTGTCAGACCCAGACCCACAAAGTGTTTTTAAGGTGTTTAAACAAGATGGAAAGTCTTTCACTCTGCAAAATGCAGTGATTTTTAAAAAATGAAATAAGGAATTTTTTTAGCAATCACAATAGAGATGAGTGGAGCAGTCTCATGAAGTATCTGGATATTTGTAATTATGCAGTGTCTTGCATAATTTACAAAGAGAAAATCCTTCCTATTTTCAATGCAGTGCGAAATGTACAAATTTGTCCATTTTGTCATATGTACATGAAGTGTACTAAAAAGCCATGACCAACTGGAACCTTTTATTCCTTGACTACATGAAGAAACAAATCCACTCAGCTAGCTTCTCTGCCTTGGAACTCAGAAATGGAGGGATTATTTTCTCATTTGTGCAGCAACGTAAGACCTCTGGGTGTTGTAGCTTTTAAAAAATACAGAACTCCCATCTCCATAGTTCAGAATAAGTGTTTCCATATTAATGAATGACTTTCTCAAGGAAAACATATGGAATGTGTTCAATGACTTGTGCTCTCAACTACTGCTCAGTTACTTTACCTTAGAGGATCTAAGGGTAGTTTTGGATCCAGAATTACCAATGGAAGTGCAGGTGGTCTTAGTGTCTCTTTTATCAGTTGAGCCTGATCTGGACAGAGGTGACCTGTTTTACCTACAGATGCTCATGCTCTACTAATCTCTTGTTTGAATTTCTGAAATGCATTATTTCTTCCTTCAAAAATTATTTGGAACTTCTCATCTGATGCAAAGAAGATTGGAACTGGCTAGTCTCAACTATTACAAAAGTGTTTTGTTATCAGCACCTGCTTCCAGTCTGTTTATGGGCTCAATTAATAGTCTGGTATTACCCTTTAAAGCTCTACATGTTTCTAACCAGATTTATGTGAAGGACTTCCTCTTTCCATATCCATCTACTTACCCATGCAGATCCTAAAATCCTATCAGCCCATTCTTCAAGTATCTCTACTAATTGAATTCTAGTGGGCGACTACTAAGCAGAGGGCCTTTTCAGCACTGCCATTCCAGTTAAAGAACATCCTCCCCAAATGCTCTGTTGACATTATGGTAAAATGTGGTGTGTTGTTGTTTTTAATTTACCCAAGATTTAAATTTACACACACCTTTGAATAACAGATCTAATATCTACTGCTACTTTTATTCTGTTTTAGATTTTATTTCCTATGTTGCATTTTATGGTTTTAATTTTTACTTCTAAAAAGCATACAAAGAACTTTTGTAATTGGGCAAAATGGAAGCATTGCAAATAAATCATTGCATTTAGCTTCCAGATTAAGGCCCCTCTGATCTGATGAAAACATGCGGACAGATTTGCTTTAAACATCTAGAACTGAACTGCTCTATCATCCAGAGTCAGTCATGAATTTGTCCTTAGTTCAGGTTGTCTGATGGCCTAGCAAGTGAGGTAGTTAGATGTGCCCCATCTAAGTAAATTGAATTTTAAACATAAAATAAGCCCAACCTCTGTTCTTTTTTCGAAAATTTCTGTATGATGAATAAAATCATAAAAAGGAGTGGGTGATTAGAGTTGCAATCCAATATGTACTGTATATATTTAGCTGGGGGAAAGCACAGCAGAACACAGTGGAATATACTTTTGAGCAGAAATTTATAGGCTAGCATTTTAAGTGTGTTATCTTGACTGCATAGAGGAGAACACATTTGCCCATATGGAATGTGATTTCTAATATCAAGTTCTGGGCATGGCACTCTTATATATTTTTATATTTGTTTATTTATTTGTTTCACTTCTAGGTTGCCTCATTCCAGATTTTTAAATCTCTCATTCCACGTGAATGTAACCATTGTGAAAAAATAGTAAAATAAATATTAATTTTATACAGGCAAATACAAAGGCAACAAAATGTATAAGACAATGCACTGTTTCTATTATATGGCACTAGACAGCAGCAATGCTCTCATTTCCAAATCCAACACTTTTTGGCTGATGGTCTGATAAAGATTGTCTAGTATAATGTTACAGCCTGTATACTGTATTAGACATAACTTTGGCATGGTATTAAAAAAATATGGATGCAATCAAAGAAAATCCTGCAACACTGATTTATGATTTTGAGGATGAATAAGAACAATAATAGCCTTGCATTAATTCTCTACACCGCTATTAATTATACTTAAAATTTGAGGATCTCTGTTACACAATATGCCTACTTGGGAGAAACATATTTTAACAGAGCTTAGAGAAATGATAAAATATAATTTGGGGGCTGGGGAAGCCATAGTGAGATGCCTGAAGAAGCAGGGTAAAATTGATTACTATTCTTTCATTACTTCCAAATTAATCATCTAATAATCACAAAAATATTTAAACATGGTTCATTCTGAGGCTGCATCTGATATGAACATCATGTTATCTAAGGTACATTTATACCAATTTTAAGCAAGTATAATAAAATAAAACCTAGCCTTGAGCCTTCAAACCTAAGCAGGTCTGTTAATAAAAGAACCCTTTGGAACTTTTTTGACTAATTCATAAGTCAGAAATGACCAGACAGCACATAACAATGTAAAATAAAACACCATTTAGAGACAATGAAGAATTTATACCAAATAAAATGGGGATATGACCAAGGAAAAAATACTGCTGAGGAGATATAGGACAGAATTCATAAATGTAACCTGAAGAACACATTATGTATGAATTACAAGGAGAACTTTCATATGTTAACATTAGATGGTATTTAGCACCTTCAGAGTTTGCAGAACTCATGTGTCATCATGTCCCAAACCCTAAAAGGGTTTCAAGGTAAGTGAGATATTTAAGCAGTGGTTTCAACAGTTCCACCACTCCCCAAGTTAGTTTCCGTAGCTGAGAAGAGAAATCAAACCCAGGTCCCCTGAGCCTGTCACTCTGTTCACGACATCACATTAGGTATTTTTCAGAATGTATATAAATGCAGAATATAAATACCAGATGAGATGAGATTAATACTGTAAATGGTTTTCATATTTGGTTTTTTTGTTACGGAAGGAAAGCTACCCACCTTGAGCACTACTGTCGGGGAAAAGGCAGCATAGAAATGCAATAAATAAATCAGATTATAAATTCTGAATGTAGTGATAAATTATCTTAAAATGGGTCCTAAGCACCCTTTAGGTTCATGGTAATTTTGTTCACTGTAAAGTTGCAACAAAGTATACTGAAATTGTGATTCTGTCTTCTAAGTCCTAAGCAACTGGCTTTTTAAAAAAAATATCAGACTGCTAGTACATTTTCCTTTAAAATCTACCTTTTACAAAAAAGCAGAATTAAAGATAAATATTAGATTAGTATGCATATGATTCTATTGAGATAAAGCTTGAGAACTATTCCACTTTCCTGTTGCATCCAATTTGCACAGATCATCATAAACAAAGGCTACAATCCTGCTGAGCAATTTTATGCTGCATAATGGGGATGATGTCATCACCCACAGCAATAAAAAGCTTCTGACAGCCCTGCCAACATTTCAGGGATCCTCTTCATCTTAGAAGTCTTTTTGAGTCATGGAATTGGAGGGAAAATTATTTAAATCCACTTTAAATCAGTGGCAAAGACTGGGAGCAGCAGCACTAGCACTTTTTCAGCTTTAAATGGTTTCACTCCCAATCTAGTTCCAGGATATCTCAGGACGAAGGGGATGCATAGGGATCCCCAAAACCGGGGGGGGGGAGACCTCGAGGAAGCTTTTTCTTGATTTAAAACTGTTGTGGCACTTCCATGGCTGATAGTATCATCCTCAGTCCATGGTACAGCTATGCCAACAGGATTTCAGCCATTAAGTCGTCTCAGAGTTTACTTTTAGTAAGGAAAGATTACAAGATTTATACATCTAAATGAAAATATAGATTCTCACCAGGTTCAAGATCCAGTTGACACAGATACTGTGAAGTATTCAAAGTAACCACTACCACTCTATGTTTAAGAATGTCTTCTTTTTGGGGCATCTGGAAGGTGGAATGTGTGCTTGAAATCAAACAGTACTGATGCACAATTGGGTGTACAGTTTTTACCCAACGGTTTCTGAAATACACCCTGCAAAAGAGAAGATCTTATTTATTTACAAAAGTTAAGTGCAATGAACTCTTAACTTTGCATCTGCTTCTTTGATACAGTATTTTATTATGCACTACAGACTGCTTTCTCGAATATACTCTGCAGGACTTCAAAAATATAGGAAGCTTGCCGCCCTCCAATATCTAAATTGTAGATATAAAAAATGAGAAGTTATAAAAATTCACAACGTCCCAATGCAGCATGGTCCAGCACTTCCCCTTTATTCAAATATCTGATTATCCAATATTTTACATAGCCCTTCAGCAATTAACAAGTAACATTATAATGTGTTCCTATCAGAAACATAAGAGAATCAGGCCACAGTGGGTGTGAGAAATGCTAACATACATATATAATATGTGACTAAATTCCAGACTAACCTTTTGTTTCCCTTCTGCCTATTTTTTAAAATCTATTTTACTTCCACATTCTTATACTCTAGTACAGGGATGGGCAACTATTGTCCTCCTACAGCTCATATCAGTCGTAGTTTAGCTCATATAGCTGCTGCAGAGGAACAGAAGGAATTGTAGTCCAAAAAGATCTAATTGCCTGTTATGAAATTTTGAGTGTATCGCTAGTAAAAATAACTAAGGAGAACAGAGGTATATAAAAAAAGTAGTCCTGAAGATGAAAGTGCTTTAATACTGAGGCTTGAACAATAATTTGCTATACCCACTGCAAAACAATTAGCCGACTCTCTAGCCAAGTAAGGTCACTGAACAATAACATCCTGATGGCTGAACTGTTTATGCTACAATTTGTAAATATAGAGATGGCATTTACAGGTCTTATGGGCCACACTCTCAATAATTAAAATATTCTATCCAGGATTCTGAATTTCCAAACCTTGTGCACTAAAGATCTTTGCTACTCCAAGCTTTGTAAAAATCTCAGTCATAACAATGTTGTTATCAGCAAGGTGGCAAATTGCCAGATACTAAATTATAAACTTTTGGAGTTACAGTAGGTGCAACAACAATTAATATTCCCATTAAAAACTTTTTCTTGGAGGTGAAGACCTCTGAATCTCCATGCCCCTGGGAAAGAGATTGTTTACAGATGGGGAAGGTGTGAACATCTAGAAAACTATAAATATAGGAATATAAGACACATACATAGACATTCAAGAATTCATCACATCATTGTAACTCCATACCATGTTGGGCACCAAACATCAAAAAACGACAATCAACATGGATTTTTCTCCACAGATTCAAACTGACTTGGCATTTACAATTAGTGTGTCTGTGTATTTTTAATATGCTTAAAAGCTAAAGATTACTGAGACTTAATGTTTTTTATTTTTCAATTATATGTTTAGGGGAAGTATTCTCTGCTGATTCAATGTCTCTTTTAGGCTATTAGCTTCTTTATTTTTGGATTTTAATACGATCAATTTAATTCCTGCCTCCAACTTATGTTTTATTTTTGGATTATTTATTATTTGCAACTTTTCATAGCTGCAAGAATTTTGGATGGCAATTTATATTTAAAAGCATTTGTGCCTAGCTGTAAGAATTTTTTAAAAAATGTTTATGGAACATAGAAGCAATGTAGATCAATAAAGCCTGTAAAATTAGACAAGCTGGTGTTGCCTGGAATCATTTATTTATTTATTTATTTATTTATTCAATTTCTACCCCGCCCCTCTAGACAACGTCTACTCGGGGCGGCTTACAAACATTAAAACACATTAAAACAATGTAGAAAAATAACTAACATAATTATTATATGGGAATCATTGCAATCATTGAAGCAATGTACCATGATGAATTTTGATATCATTGTCAATTATTGTTTGGTTTCATTGTGGAATTAACCCTTTTTGGGATAAATGCCAGCTGTGATGAACACAAGCTTCTGATTTTTCCCTGGGAGTATATAAAGTTTTGTAAAACTCTTAAGGAGATGTTCAGGCATAAATTTATGTGACCTGACATCCCACACCAGCTTCATTATCATAAAATCTTCTAGTTATTTCATATAACATAATCTGTACCCTCTGCTGTACCCTCTCACAAGTTACCTTCAGATCACAAATACTCTTGATATTCAAACTGTGGATCATAAAGTACTTTCAGACAGCACCTTTCTGACTCTATGTCATGGAAGAAGGTTCAGCAAATTTCAGACTTGCATGACCACCCTAAGCACTGGGGTCCACTGACTGTTGCTAGGCTCAACAAGTCAGTGTCTAACATCTGCAGAAGGTGTTCAGAGAACGTGTGGTTTAAAGTCCATTGCTACCACATAATACTACCTACATCTGATATTAGACCAGCATGTATCAACATAGCATAACCCAGACTAGAGCTGCTTCATAAATATAAACCAAGAACTAAACATTCATGTGGAATATGTGCAACACACACAGGCAAAATTTAACAGCAGAACGGAAAAAACGGATCATTTCAGTGCATGCTGCTGTGGGAATTTGTGAAAGCTTCATCCATTTGGTAGATGAGGAAACTAAAGCTAAGACTAATCCTGAAAGTGAATCATGACTCTAAAGCAGAAAATTTTGAATATATGCTAAAGCAAATAAATTAATAAAGCAAACAAAATTACAGACTATAGATCAGGTAACAAGTAAGGCACTGGGAGGGATTTATCCGTTCCCTCCACTTTCACTTCTTAAGTACCAGATCAGACAGACCACTCTACTGACAATCTCAAAATTTATTTCTGTTGAAGGCTCACTCTTTGCCTTCATGTTCCTCAAAATATTTCACTATGATCTATCATATCTTCTGATCCAGGTCTCCCAAGGCTACTGATTGGTCAGTTTGCATCTATCTTACAAGAGTTGCTCAGTGCCCACAGAAACAGCCTGACAGTGTCTTCTGTGTTTCAACATATCTTCAGGACAGGAAGATTTGAAACTGAGATGAGTTGGGAAAAGGGAATGGTTAAACCTTTCCTATGACACACTTTCCTCCAGAGTCCAGAAACACACTCTCCCAGCAGCTTCACTTTGAATAATGTTCTCCAGCCATATTTACCTTACAAATATGGATCTGGAACCCATGAATATAAATGCAGCTAAGTAAGTAGAATCTCAGGGAAAAGTGAGTAAGGAAAGGATTAAACATTTCTTTGCCCTTTTCATTCTCTGGTGTGATGTGCCACTTCCTTAAGAGAGCTGTGCTGTGGAGAAGGAACTCCTGAGCTAACATCACACTTGACTGCAGTTTAACAGGTAGCTTGATCCTGAAAGTCAGAGAGTACAGCAATACATTTTACTGAACAAACTTCTTCTGACAATAGAATGCAAGCTTTCAGGTCCCAAGAGAAACCTTTAAAATGCTTAGACGATTGCATCCTACCTCATCAAGTGAACAGCTTTCGTTTCACAAAAATGAAGGCGGTTTAATAACAAGTAATCATCTCACCTATTTTGTATTTCTTATTTAAATACAATGGTTCTTTCAAAGCTTATCACTCCAAAAGAGACAAGAAATTGTCACTGCCAGTGTCCCAGAAGACAGCACTCTTACAAATTCCAAGAATAAAACAAATTTCACAATAAAATAGAAGAAGAATAACAATAATTTAAAAAGCAATCTTCCCAAAAGAGTAGTGTTAACCTATGACAGAGTTTTTTTCAGTTTGTGTTTTGAAGGCTACTGGTTTAAGATGCAGCCTTGAAGGACATATCAACATGAATGCTCAAATTAGAAAACGTATTTGAACAAAGATGCGCACAACTTGCACTTGTCAGTGTCTCTTCTTCCCAACTGCAGCCTTCCCACTCATTCTAGATCAGCATGCAGTTAATATTGTTCTCTTTGACTACAGAAAGTCATAGGACTAAGATACTCAACAGACAATAGACTAAGATATCTGATGATTTACCTCAAAAGGGCTGGGAAATATCTAAAGGAAGAATTCAGAAAAGCAGCATGGAATAGTGGTTTGATTGTTAGTCTAGCAGCGGAAAAACTAAAATTTAAATCCTCATTCAGCCAACTGAGTGTGTGACCCTGGGCTGTCAGAAACAATCTCCCAAATGAGGAAAAATTATTCCACTTCACAGAAAACAAAGTGAACTAAGCAATTTGTTGTTTTTTTAAATCCCACGTCTAGTGTTGCTTCGTCTAGCAAGTGATGTAACATTAACACTTGTCTTTGTGTGGCTTCTAGCTATTTTTCACATTTCCTTCAAAAACTTTCAAAAATATTTTCAAATGTTTCCAAGTTCAAAAATGAACAGACTCCACACAAGACAGTGGAAGCATTTTTTTAAATACAGAAATCATTTAACAGCTAAACATGTGCATGGCTAAATACAGGCACACAGACAATATAGAAGTTAGAAAGCCACCATAGGGGAAGAAGTGTGTGTGTTTATTACTGTATCACCTTATATATAATCCAGGATAAAATTGTTGAAAAAAATCAGGACTTGGTGACCATTGCACGTCATCCTAGCAGACTGCAACTGAAAAGCTACTTGGTTAGTTCTAATCTACATGTGGACATCTGCCCATTCTTATTTGTTACCTTTTTACGTTGCTAAATAACAATGACAGGAAGCAAAGAATCTACAACCTCTGTGACAACTAAAACCGAAGACCAAGCACTTCTATGCTTCCTTGACTTCCTCATGATCTGTTCCTAGCAGTCAAAGACCTTCTTGGCTTCCCCCAAAAGCAAACATGTTCTAATGTTCATATATGTTGCAAGATCCACCTAATGTTTGGCAATTCATTTCCTCACTATTATGACTGCATCATTGACTATTAGACATGGAGGTTTTCGTATACAAATACCCCCTGCACAGGCGGACATAACGGGGGTCCAGCCCCCTGGGGTCAGACTGTCCACTCACCCATCCGCTGCTGCTGTAGCTCCACGCTCCTTTCCAATCATTCTGGAGCTCGCGATCAACTAGCCACTAGTCAGCCTGGCAGGGAGACTCGTCTTCCCTCCTTCTGCCAGGAGTGGTTAGTCGACCGTGAGCTCCGGAGCGACTGGAAAGGAGAGCGGAGCCGCAGCAGCAGCAGACGGGTGAGCGGATGGTCCAGCTCCAGGGGGCCGGACCCTCGTTATGTCCACCTGTGCGGGGGTATTCGTATACAAACATCCCCATCTCTATTCACTATTACTATTACAACTACTTTAATCCCTGTAGTCACTGGTTTGAGCAGCCTCCCTAGTACTCCTCCCCACAGAGAACACAAGCTACTTCTCACCATGACCGTTGTGAGGTTTCTTTTAAGCACTCCATTTGATAAGTGCCCCCTCTGCTCAGATCAAGCTACATTATGTTAAGATCAGTTGATCTTTGTAGTGCATAGGTGGGCAACATTACCCAGGCACTCAAATGCAGCCCAGCAATATCCCCATTTTTAAGAACTTTGCCATGTTTTGAGAGCCCCAGCACCCTGAAGCCCACACATCCCATTTTTTTTATTTTTTAAAAAACAAAAAGTGACTAGAGGGCACAAGGAATTTTTCTCATTTTCAAAAAAGAAAATAGAAAGAAAGAAAAAATTGAGGTGGTGGCTGTAGGAATGATTCTCCAAGGTTCAGAAACAAGCAATCCATGGACACCTCTAGACAACAGCCCACTCTGTTCTAACCAACTGTTCATCTAACCCAACTCTTAACTGGTAGTCTTTCAACAGTCACACATCAATGTTTTGCTCATGCGAACCAGTTGGCATTTAGATCCTTCCTCATTCTGCCTTCCTAAAGTGCTACAAGCTAAAGCAGGCAATCAGATTCCAAGGTAATCAATCACAAAGCAGGAGAGGAAAGAAAATTGTCAGGAGCAGGTGGGGGTGTGCATAGGGTGCTGGTAGGCTACATTTGGATGCATGGGGCTGCACATTGCCCACCCCTGCACTTGCATTAGTATAACGTGGCTTGATCTGGGCAAAGGACAGACTAATCAGAGATACTACTTAAAAGAAGCCTAAGCTTGTTAGCAATCGCTCAGTCTTCATTACACACAACAATAGACCAGTGGTGCATTTCAAACATAATTCTGTCTCCTTTTATATGTAAAATATTTGCTTGCAAAAATATTGACTTCTGTCCTGATTTTAGCAGAGTGGTGTGAAGTGGTAAAATTTTAACAGCACAATTTGCAACTCAATGAATTCTCAACTTCATCCAAGCATTTATCTATTATTTAACAAAAATATATATTTTAGATATAAATATAAATGAATTTTTTGGGCAGAGGGGATCATTTTTAAATGCACTAGATGGAATTAAATTCTTTTCTGTGATTTTTTCCTCCCTAATACTTAGGATGAGTTCATTTGAATATACAAATCACTTGATACTGAATGAATTTCACATGATTTGCCACGTGCGTGGCTCCTTTGATGAATATTTTCTCCAAACTCACACATTGTTACAATTTAATGAACAACCTGTATGACAAAGTCAATTCACAGGTAATTCTTTTTAACAATCTTAGTAACTTCTTAGAAGACCATAACAAAATTTGTTCAGAGAGAAAAATACATATATCCATATACAGAAGACTTTAAAAAAAGATGTCTTTGATGCATAAAACAAGTCCACATGACTCCACTTTGTCCTTTCTTTCCAAATTATGTAAAAGTACTGTTTTTTAAACACCAATAAGTTTTTTAAACCTATTTGCCACAGACACCTTTTCTTAAGATAATGTAGAGATAACATAATAAGCCTTAAAAAATACCTGAGAGGTCTTGCCTGGGGATTGCCTGCTTCTACATATGGATGTAAATAATCCTTTATGTAGAGATCAGCAGCACTATTAGAATGGGTGCAAATGAGAATCCTGCTGGAATAAATGGTGCAAATAAAAAAGCAATGAAGAAACAGAAAATCATTCAAAGCAGTAAAAATACAAAAAATCGTGACCATTCTTTCCCACACATTTCTTCCACTGAAATTAGTCTAAGACTTTTATGGTACAATGATGCTTCTAACTAATTTCTGTGGGAAGATTTAAACTTTCAACTAGCTTTTATAGATCACTTTACACTAAAATTAAAACCACTTCAATATAAATATGGTTATTATTACAATTCTACACATTGCCCAGCTTTCTAAAAAAATTGCAGTGAGTATGTTCAGGGAGTTGCCAATTTAATTTATTCTTCCAAGAGGAGGTTATATCTTTAGACTGTCAAATTCTATCCTGAGTGTCTATACAAAACAATGAAGGATGGTTTTTTAAAGCTGGATGGAAATTCTGTATAGTTAACTTCCCTCTAAAGTAAAGAGAGACATTTTGCTTCCCATTATATATCATCCCATCTCACCTAGTATCTTGCTGTTGAAGTATGTGCTTGACTGCCTGAGCCAAAGTGAATGTTTTGCCTGTCCCATAGGGACCGATGATAAGAACAGGAGGCAGTTGTATCAACAGTGGAGTTGTGATAGCCAGAACAGCCTCTTTTTGCTTGGCATTGAGCCTAGGATCCAATTGTTCATCCCACTGTCTGTACAACAGAAAGAGGGACATTTAATAACATCAGAAAGTTATTCAATAAAATGAAATTATCTTATTATCATACAAAGACACATCTGAAAATAAAGATATCTTACCATTTTTAGAAACCATTACAATCCCCACCCCACCAATTTTAGTGTAAAATTGCTGCCTGTAAACTAGTTTCATGACAGACGCTGATTTCTGGGTAACTTCTGTGTACCACATCTGTAATCACAACTCATAAGGAATATACGTTTAAGTCCCAGCTGCCATTAAAACAAGATTACATCTGTTTACTACTCATTACATTTGCCATATTTAAATAGATTAATCATTATCTTTGATGAGCTAGAAGTTCAAACCAGATTTAGATCTGAATTACATATCTCAGGAACATTATAGCCAGCTGGATACACTCTTAAGTAACACCATTTACCATTTTTAAATGCACACTTAGAATGCTGGTGCTATACATTTATTAAAGTGATGGGTATTAGAACAAAAAAAAAATTCTCTAGAGGCATTCCGTAAAAGACAAATGATTTAAGATGCCCAGTAACAGATTTGAAAGCAGGCATAGATTGTAAAAACCAGCTATCGCCAAAACACATACGCTCATATTTTTATAATGTAATAGTATTTCTTTCCCGGAATATTTTCATTAAGTGATATATGTAGCAGCAACAAGAAGCTAGAGTTGCATGTATGTATTTCAAATATGAATACCATCAATATCTTAAATTAATGAAAACACTTGTATGTGCTTTAAAGATGACATGGACATAAAACCAAAATAAGGAGTGGAAATCAACATAATTTAAAGTTAATCAAGATATATAGAAATCTGAGACAGAAGTAGTATCATAGAGGAGAATTAGTTAAAAGCATCACAACTAACTTAACTTCTATTGATATCAATGGATCTGCTCTTGGTAGGGAAAAAAGCCAGGTTTAGCCTAAAGATATTGGGACACGTTGAACTACATCATCACTACTGAAACAATTCCCCTGGCTAGAGTGAGATTTATACCAGACATTCAGCGTAAGTTGCAAAATTCTTCCAGAACAAACTGGAATATTCACACTGTACAGGAGCCACTTGAAAAGGTTAGTTATAATGGTATGACTAAATAGTGGGCGATACAGAAAGAGCTGTCCTATGAACACATTCAAGTGCTCCCTGGACAACAACAGAGCTCTGTAGACTGATCCTTTCACTCTAGAGGCACCACTGGATTGGTTTTGACAAGAACAATGCAGAAGAAACAAATAGGTGGGAATTAAATTTAGTTACAGACCTTCTCCCAATATGGTGAGAGTGATGCTTGTCCAGAAGCAGGCTTCTCTAATACAGGGGTCCCCAACCCCTGGGCTGTGGACCACAACAGGTCCGTGGAAGGACTGGGCCACCGGGACAGATGAGTGGCAAGCAAAGCTCTACCTCCTGTCAGTGCGCTCCTATTAAGTTGTAATTCTGCTGCTGATCTGACAGGAGGCAGAGTTTCGCTCTCCGCTCCCTTCCTCCTGCTGCTAGATCAGCAGTGCCTGTGGCATTAGAATCTCATAGGATCCCGCGCTCCTGATAGGTTCTAAGCCGCTGCTAATCTGACAGGAGGTGGATCTTCAATTGCAGCTCCCCTCCAGCTGCTGCAAGATCAGCTGTGTCAAAGAAATGCTACATGTACTGTTTATAGATGGTGAATCTCTGCACTGAAGACTAACAGCAGTACAGTGGTGCCTCGCTTAAGGGGCGCCCCGTTTAACGACGAATCCACATAGCGAAGAATTTTTTGTGATCGTTTTTGCGATCGCATTGCGATGTTTTAAATAGTAAAACATCACTTTGCGATGACCGGTAAGCTGTTTCGCTTACCGATTTCCACATAGCAATGTTTTTAGAACAGCTGATCGGCGGTTCCAAAATGGCCGCCGGGTAAATAAATGGCCGCCCGCTGTGTTTTCACGCCCATTCCTCGCTTACCGGGCAGCAAAAAATGGCGGCTGTATGGAGGATTTTTGCTGAACGGTGAGTTTTTTGCCCATAGGAATGCATTAAACGTGTTTTGATGCATTCCTATGGGCTTTTTTGTTTCATATAGCAACGATTCCACATAGCGACGATTTTTCCGGAATGGATTATCGTTGCTATGCGGGGCACCACTGTACTTCTTCAACAGTGGATCATGAACTTTGCACAAGCTGCCGGTATTAGCTTTGATAACAGTAAAAACCTAACTAAATCTAGTGTTTCACTTTCCTTTTCCTTTCTTAACAGTGTCTGTTGTGGATTTCTTGGATTATAGACTTTACCCTTCAACAATGCTGGGATTAGGGGTGCCAGATCCCCATGTAGTTCTAAATCTGTGTATAACTTTTATGTCCCCCAAAAACATAACTACAAAGAATAAACAGTTGATTTAACTAACACATGCACAGAAAGAGAGAACACAGGTGAGTTTACTATATTAATTGTACAGCATGGCCCAGAACTCTCCCTAGCCACTACATGGAGCTGTCATGCCGATGGGGGTGGGGGTTGCTAGCTGGGCCACCGCCATAAGACTAGGGGGCCGCTGCACTGCCAACAACATGGGTCTCGGTAAATCCGAGACCCACCTTTCTCAGCCATTTCCTGGACCATGGTATTTATTGAATATTTATTTATTTGAATATTTATCAATTTATTGGGAGAAAAATCTGTATATAACCAAAACCATATTGCTCAAACCCATGCAATTCAAGAGAGAAGCATATTCTATCTCTCCCAACCAATAAGGTTTAGTGCTGTCAATGCTTGTAAGACAAAACGTTGTGTCCCTCAAAGTGTGCCCAGTCACACCCAATTTTTTCATTTTAAAATGAAAAAAAATTGCTTAGAAAGTTGTTTTAAAGGAATAATAGATCAATTATATTCAGAGAATCCTGTTGCAGTGCTAATAAATGATGGGATAATGGAACAAATATCTCCAAGCTGACGTACTAGTCAAAAATACCCCCTTCCCCAGTATTGTTTCCTTTAGTTACCTATTTGTGAATGTTATTAGAGAAGATAAAGAGATTCTAGGTATTTGTATTAAAGACAGAATTAAAATTAGTTTATTTGTTGACATTACCTTATTAACAACAGGAAACACTATACATTTACAGAGACCATAAAACTATATGTAAAACAATTTGGAGAGATAACAGGGTTGCAATTTAATTGGCATAAATCAGAAATGATGTTTTACTATAAGAGGAAAGAAGGAAAATTAGAAATGGATTTTAATGCTGTATTTGATAGATTATGAAGTATTTAGATATAAATATTCCAACTAATATGGAAAGACTGAAGAAGGATGTGTTTAAAATTCTGAAACAAGTGCCTTATTTTTCGCTCCATAAGACGCACCTTTCCATAAGACGCACCAATTTTTTAGGAGAAGAAAACAGGAAAATATAATCTGTTTTTTTCGCTCCATAAGACGCACAGACTTTCCACCCCCCTGTTTTGTGGGGGAAAAGTCCGTGTTATGGTGCGAAAAATACAGTAATTAAAAAAATAATCTTGATTATTTAAGAAAAATTGGATTGTCATGGTTTGGCAGAATCACAGCATGCAAAATGAAGATACTGCCCAAGAGAAATTTTCCATTTATGATGCTATCTATAAAGACTTGCGAAGAAGAGTTAAAGAAATGGCAAAATATGATTAATAATTTTTATAATGCAAATAAGAAGTCAAAGATTAATAAGATGAGATGGCATAAATCTCAAAAAGTTGAAGGGCTAGGATTTCCTGATTTAAGGCTATACATTAAGACGTATGCCAAATATTATATCTCAGTCCAACAAACTAATTTGGTTGAATACAGAAACACAACAATTGCATTTGAACTTTGTAAATATTATTTTATGCAAGATAATAAAAATATATAAAAATATAGAACATCCCTTCTTTTAAAATATGCTCTTAATTTGGAATATACCAAGAAAAATATTTATCCCACCAGTTTCCCCATTATATCCGGTGATATAGTTGGAGAAATTCCCAGGAAACCTAAAAGGACTGATGAAGAATTTATTAATTATGAGACAAGTTATTAAAATAAAAGATTGGTTAGAAAAAATAAAGAATAAAGAGCAAATAAAAGAAGTGACAGGTATGTATAAAATATCTTGATATAATATTATTCATCTAGAACAGTGGACAAAAAATTGGATACAAAAATGGTAAATGAGGGAATTCATGAAGGAATTATATTACAAAGCAAAGATGAAAATAGTTTAGGGAAAAGAATGGTAAGTAAAATTGACAATATGTTATTGGAAGCAAAGGAGGACTCACTTTAATTGTCATGGGAATTCAATCTGGGAGAAGAAATAAATACTAGTACAGTGGTGCCTCACATTACGATGTTAATTCATTCCAGCGAAATCGCTGTAGAATGAAAACGTCGTAATGCAAAAATAAAAAGCCCGTTGAAACGCACTGAAACCCCTTCAATGCGTTTCAATGGGCTGGAAACTCACCATCCAGCGAAGATCCTCCATAGGACGGCCATTTTCGGTGGCTGTCTTGCGAGGAATCCATTCCAGAAAACAGCGGGGAGCCATTTTATTTACCCGGTGGCCATTTTGAAACCGCCAATCAGTTGTAGACAAATTGTCGTTTTGCGAAGAATTGGTTCCCAAAGCAGGGAACCGATCATCGCAAAGCGAAACAAGCCCATTTAGATAATCATTTTGCGATCGCAAAAACGTCATCATAATGCGTTTTCGTCATAATGCGGGACAATCGTAATGCGAGGCACCACTGTACTTGGAAAAATATATGGAACATTAGAATACTGAAATTATATCAGTAAAGATAAAAGAAAATTTTCATAAATTAGTTTGGAGATAGTACTTAACAACGTAGATACTCATTTTCTTATGTGGTGAGAATGTGAGAATATATTAAAATTTTGACAATTATTTTTTAAGGAAATAAATGAAATAAACAAGCTAAACTTAGCAGTATCAAATATTGATAAAAGCACTGACACAGTGCTTTTATCAATATTTGAAAAGGAGGAAAGTAACTGGACAACTAAAGAATTAATTTCCAAATTATTAACAGCAATGAGACTGATTATTTGCCAGGAACAGGAAAATAGCTTATAATTTCCACTTTAGTGATTGGTATAGGGAAGATGGGGAAATAGCTATCAATAATAAGTTTTCTTGAAGGCTTTCACAGCCGGGATCAGATGACTGTTGTAGGGTTTTTGGGTTGTTTGGCCGTGTTCTTGAGGTTTTTCTTCTTAACGTTTCGCCAGTCTCTGAGGCTGGCATCTTTAGAGAACAGGAAATAGGAAGAAAAGCCTCCAGAACACGGCCAAACAGACTTAAAAACCTACAACAATAAGTTTATATGTAATATAGAAGTTAAAGGGGGTAACAAGCAGAGATGAATTTATAGATATATGAGAAGAATTTATCAATTTTGGATTGATAAAGGGGAAAGGGCAGAGCCCATTGCAAGAGTCAATTCAATTCTAGAAAGGAAATGGGGCTTCATAAAGGTAAGTAGGATAGGTTGTTATTCCAAATGGTTCGGGGAGGGGGGGGAAGCACTGTATATATTTAGATATTGGTTGATTTTTTTTCTTCTTTTTTCTTTTTGTGTGCTTTTTGTATAAATAATTTTTTAAAAAAAGTTGCTTCAGACTTTCTATGCATTCTCTCCCCACCGAGCTGTTTTAAGCTGGAAAGTTCCCTTTGCCCAATAAAAAAAGTTCATCAGTTTTTAAAAATTGGGGAGCGTAGGCACAGGAATAAGTGCACACACCCCGCAAGTTCCAAGCATGGGAAAGTGCATCCCCAGATCTCTGGAAGCTGCTCTCTCCAGTCGCAGGGGACCTATGTCTACATCTCTAGACTGGAGGCCTATTGTTTATGACACCCACACCCTCAAAGAGAAGTACCGTATTTTTTCATGTATAAGATGCCCCCATGTATAAGATGCCCCCCATTTTCTAACCCAAAATTAAGAAATCAATATTTTAAATGTAAACACATTTTATTTAATAATTAGGTAACATTTACATACCAGTACTGTCATATTATGCATCTCATTTTAACTTTATTCAGCGTCTGGGCTCAGAATGCTTGGACATGAGGAGTCCCTGTTGCATCTGAGCACAGTTGCAATTGGTTTGTTCAGCATCAGCTGACGTCAGGCTTGTGATTGGAGGAAGCTATGTCTCCTGATTGGAGGCAGCTAAGCCTCATGATTGAAGGAAGCCTGTCTGCAGAGGCAAGGTATGGGCCATTTTGTTCTCTCCTCAGCTTACTTCTGTGTATAAGACGACCCCCAATTTTTAGTCTTAACGGTTTGGGGAAAATTAGTGTCTTATACACAGAAAAATATGGTACATCCTTTTCTCATTATACAACTCAGTTTACTACCAGTGTGGAAGGGATTCAAGAATGCACGCTAAAGATACCTTGACCTGTTAAGGTTAGACTTGTCAAACTAGTAAAAATTCACTAATGGATCACCACTGCCAGGACTGATCCTGGCAATGGTGATCTGGCAGCTATTTTTAAATACTTAATGCTCCCCCACAAAGTCCCAAGGCTCCCAAAGGCTTCTCAAAGCCAAAGGGACCTCGTCATGAGTTCAGCCAAAGATCCAGAACCTGAGGGGTTAACTGTAGCTGAGGAGAATGCTGAGCGATTAGAAACACAAACAACTGAATCACCCCCAGATTCTCCTCCCCCAGTAGACAGGGTGAGGGCCAGGCTTGGGGAAGACTTATGACGAAAAGGTCAGAGGATCTCCTGAAGGCTGCCTGCAGAAACATCCAATCAACTAGCCCTGAGTTCTGACAGGATGAAAAGGCTTCCAGCAGTTCAATGACTTTTACTATATAAACAGCTCCCAGAGGGCTGGAAGTCTGTGGAAGCAACAAGTCAAACCTCTGGCTCGCATCCACACTCCTGACTACCCTGAACCTTGTTCTTTGGACTCTGACCCGGGACTATGTTGTGTGATTTGGCTTTGGACCCTGACCTCGGATTACGGTTTGTGATTTGGCTTTGGTATTTGGATATTGGCTCTGCATTCTCTGAACTTCTGACATAGGACTGGTTTATCGGACTTTGCTCTTGAAACCCCCAGGAACGTGACACCTCTAGAGAACCTCAAGAATTGAAAAGGTGGGATAAATTAAATTAAATTATTTCTAGTGCCCCAATTCAATTTATACTGGCAGAACTCCACCTACAAGATTTTGCCAAATAGATCTTATGCATGCATTGCCTCACAAAGTTCCCACTTAGTTAAGACTAATAATTTGATTTAGTCTTTAACTTAAAAGACTTAACTCATTTAAAACTATGTATACCAAGACTGAAAGCAAAAATAAAAATATTGTGGCATCTAAAAAACTAACAGATTAGTACAGTGTGAAGTACATGGATTACAAACTACTTCCTAGGACACATGAATTGAAATAGGTAGTTGAAGGTTTAAATACAACTATACATAGTGGGACCTGGGGAAGACAAGTATGCTCACAGAAAACACAAGTTCAAAATGGATATTCAGTAATAGGATTATTAGTAGAGATGGGGGTATTTGTATACGAATATCCCCCCACAGGTGGAAATAACAAGGGTTTCGGCGGAGTCTTCCTATTGCGCCGTCGTCCGCAATGGATTAGTCACTCTGCGACCTGACAGAGAGGCTTGTCATCCCAACTCCTGCCAGGAGTGGCTAATCTATTGTGGACAATGGTGTGATAGGAAGGCTCTGTCGAGCTGGCGTCAGCAGCAGAATGGTGAGTGGACAGTGTGTGGACCCTCGTTATTTCCACCAGTGTGGGGGGGGGATATTCGTATACGAATACCTCGTCTCTAATTATTAGCATAAATAATAAACTTTTCAAAGTGACAATGACATTATTAACACAGATAATGAACTTTTGAGGGCAAACATCCTGACATAACTAGAGTAGCTAACCACCTATCAGGTGACTACAGTCTGTCCTTGAACTACAAAGATGCTGAAACAGGAAAGTGTTTTTTTAACTAATCAAATTCTGATTTTGGGCTCAGAATCAGTACTTTTGCCTGCACACTAGGCAGAAAGGAAAACTGCTTCTCAATGCCTAGGGATTACAATGCAACTTCCAACTCTATCAACAAACAACTCAGCTGTCAATTGCTGCAGATTAAAACCCTGTTCAGGCAACTGCTGCTGGACACCAGGTACGTAACTACATTGGCTTCTTTACTTGCAGCAATTCACACAAATGGAGTCATGCCGGCACTATTTTGTAATTAGATTCTGACCATAGTGATCTTAAAATCTGACATCTTTATTTAAGCCCTTTGACACACTTTGGGAGCTGTGGATTAATCTATCTGTCTCTCTTTCCAACAAATCATTTCTTTCTTTTATAACAGACACTTTGAGATAGAGAGAGAGAGAGAGAGAGAGAGAGAGAGAGAGAGGTATCTAAACCTAACAAAAAATTGCATTCAGTCTGCGTTGTGATGTTCAAATAGTAAAAATACATGAAGAAGCACATACAGATTCTAGGGTAGTTAGAAGGGCAAAAACACACTCTCTGGGTTTGGGAGCCAAGCTGTCAGCTGATCAACCAAACTTAACCACTGATCTCCTCATACTGTCCTACCTTGGACTAAAAGGAGGAATGTCACAAGTGATACTCCTCTCTAATCTCCAATAGAACAATATGTTGTACTCAGTCACACTAATGAAGAAGATTCTATAAGACTCTGTGCTTTGGCATGAAATTGAAAGGTATGAGGAAATCCCTACTTTCTGTTTATATAGCAGGTCTCAATGTCTACTTGGAAGGCCAACAAGGCCACTCATTAATCTCCACATTAGTAAAATAAGAAGTCTACGGTAGTTCCAGATGGCTTTCAGTCCCTCAAAACCTGGTTCTTTCAGCTTCCTCTTGGACCCTATTTCAATTTCTCCAAGAACTTTCACGGAACATTAACATTGTATGCCATCAAGCAATACCAATTTATGATTAGCCTTTTCAGGATTTTCTAAGTACAATGTATAAAGAAAATGTTTACCATTCCCTTCTTCTAAGGTAACCCTGGAACACAGCAGCTTGACCATGGTCACATAGGATGGCTCTTTTCCTGGGAGACACAGTGGGGAATTGGACTCCCCGTCTCTCTCTATACAACCAGATGCCTAGCTGCACATTACAGAAAGGAATATGGTTCTGTCTACATTCTGGCCAATAAGGACTCCATATATAAAAACTAACCAAGTTTCTAATGAAAAACAGGAGGATTGTAAAGACATAGTCTTAAAGTTATTTCCCACATCATCATCAACACAATCAAAAGTATTCCCTTTGAGGTTTCCACCAGACAACTTTACAGGGACAGGATTTTGGCCACTGTTCTGCACACAATACAGTACATACACATTAAGTTTACAGATGCAATAAAGCCTCTTAGCCACTTGATAAATCTGTATAATTGGTTAGTTTAACAGACTATATGGAAAGTAAACCAGCTCTATACTCTCGCCTGGATCCAACAGTGCCATTCCACTGACAGAAAACAAAGCAGCATAACTGAGAAGCAAAAACTATTCCCATTTCACAGTCCTACCCACATACCCATTTTACCTGACATTCTGTGCACTGACCTGTCTAAGAACATGTCTAAGTCATCTGCTATCAGGAACACAAAATGCTATCTTTTACACCAGGTTCCAGTAACAAACTGTTTTCATGTTTGTACCTGTTGGGGCTCCATGGTATTGTGGGAGTCATGCTGACATCTGGAAAGAGAATACTGTTGTCCTTGATCCTGTCCAAGGCATAATGCATTTCACAGAGGGGTAAGCGGTTTAACTGAAACTGAAGTTCAACCTACAGTGCATACAAAATGAATGAATGAATGAACGAATGATAGGTGTGTCAGAAAAACAGGCATTTGAAGAGAGTGTTTTCTTGGCAACTATTGTGCCTTTATTTTTAACTGTGTCTTTATACCTCGGTGATATCCATTAGTAAACAGAATCCACACATGAACTCATTCAGAAAATTTATAGTAGGGGTGGGCAACTTCTGAGGGTCTGGGAGCCATTGCCACTCTCCCTCGACTTTGTTGGACCTAATCTTCTCCTGACTAGCCACTTCTCGTTTCTTTTTTCAGAAAGCTCAAACTTTTCTGGTCTAGAGCAGGGTCTAGTGGGCACATTATATTTAAATGACAAATCCTGTCCCACAAGCTTCCAAGGGTGTAATATGCAACTGGGGGCAGTAATTTTTCATGGGGTTCAGAGGACTCAGGGGAGTTGAGGTCATGAAGAGATTTACTGGGAGGCTGAAGGAGCTGAGTGCCTTTTGACTGCAGGCCAAAATTTGCCCACCCCTGTGTACAGAACAAAAGTTTGAGTATTGGTGTTAGAAAATCTTCTTTTAATAGAACGTAGCAATACAACAAGATCTTTCTCAGCAGAATTCCAACATAACTCATCACAGGCCAAACAGAAAATTTAAAAAGGTTAAGGCAACAACTAAATGGGAAGAGTGCTGTGGGAGAGCTGTAATCAGAGTAAATTAATTAATTGTTCAGGTCCATTAGAGTAAGAATAAGATACTAAATGAGAGCAGAATGATGTAAGTAGAAAGTTGTAGGCCAGATCTGAAGCGCAAAAAATTCTGGGTGAATAACGATTATTTAATAACTCAAAACAGCCTTTCTGAGATAATTTTTGATTTCATGGTTGTATGTTGCAACAAAAGGCAAGAAACACATTACAATCTATGAAACTGATTTCTGAATGAGTATTAAGTATAACTATTTCCTTTGAAATTGGTCACTGCTTTATAATAGCAAACAAGAAATCCCACAGCAACAATGGTACATTTTCTGAAATGTTACAACTAGCTGAAATGTTAGCATTTGTAGAAAACATCAAAAATTTAAAATGAATAAAATTAGTTTAAATAAATGTAATACTAACAAAGCAAATAAAGAAATACATACAGTATTGAGAAAATGGATAAAAGCAACTCAAGGAAAAAATGAGGAAGGGTTATTCATTAAAGTTAAAAATATATGTGACATTAATGTAATACATGAATAAAGTGCTATCTTGTTCATAGATTGAAGATAAGGAGGACAAAGTGTAAATAGTGGGGAAAATAAAATGCAAGGTATACTGCCTAGGATAATTTTATGCAAATACAAAAAGGAAACACAACAGATTGTATCCAAGATTGCCTTTCCACAAACCAAACAAATTGTCTCCTTTTGTCTGCAGAGGAAACCAACATCCAGTAGAGATTGCCCTCTAAAGGAAAAGGGTGAAGTGCAATCTTCATCAACTTCCTCTTCCCTGACATCTTCTAAGACGCACCTCCCATGCGGATTCAGAAAATCTCCCCAACCCTTCAAAACATGCTGAGAGGAGACACTGGTTGATGAAAGGGAGAAAGTGGAAATCACTATCCTCTCTGCTTCCTCCAGTGCCCAGCAGAGAATTGGATTTAATCTTGGAGACACCGTGACCATCGAACACAGCAACTAGTAGGTAATAAGATAAGTAAAAAGCAAGTTTCTCTTTTTCTTCATTCTCAAACTGTCTCACAGTTGCATCCCGTTGGGAGGTGCTTCCCCTAGCTTTCTAGACAACCGTTTAATAATCAGTGCTTAATTAAAGCATCTGCTGCTGAATCTTTATTAATGTAATAAATATTACAAAATTAAAGCAAAAGATTACTTTAAGGGAGCAGGAAACCAAAATCCCTATTTTACTAATCCATTAGAGAACTAATGGATGTTGTCAATAGCTATTAAAAATCAAATATTTTACAACTGAACTAAAACTAGCCATTGCAAAATGTACTAAAATAGGCAATAATACTTGAAAAATGATAACAAGTAGTCTGAAGTTTCAAGCACCACAGTAACACTTTCTGCAATCCCTCTGAAACATAACTAGAGTAATAAGGTATTACAGAGAAAAACCAAGAAAAAAAGCCCTTTTTATGTCTTTAAAACTATCTTCCATTATATTAAAAAGAATGAACAGATTTATTTCTTACACTATTTATACAGTATGCAGATACAGCCAAAAGTGAGCAATATATAGAGTAAAAAACTCTCAAATTCCCTTTAGATAAATGTGACAGATTTTATTATCTACACAGTATGACTCTAGTGCAGTGGTTCTAAACTTGCGTCCCTAAATGTTCTTGGATTAAAACTCTTCACTGCTAACTGTTCTGGCCAGGATTTCTGTGATTTGTAGTCCAAGAACATCTGGGGACCCAAGGGCTGGGAACCAATGCTCTAGTGTGATTGTGCAAGGGCTGAAAACCTGTCTGTAAAACTACACTGAATAAGGCTGATGCTATCATCAGCAGCAGCGATTTATCAGAAATTAAACATGTCCTCATTTTGTTCCAAGGCTCCACAGCTTCTGTTTCAACCCTTTCACCTTCAAGGAAGCTGGAAGAGAGAACGACATCTTTACCAGAAATCACCACTGCCAACTCATTTCGACCACACTAATTTTTGATAAGCAACGATTTCCCCCTCCCATCCCACAGCTCCCACCCTTCTCAACAATCAAAGGGATTACTGTATTTTTCCGTGTATACGACCCCCCAATGTATAAAACAATCCCCTAATTATGACCCTTGCTGGAGGCGGAGGTGCAATTAATGGGCAACTGCTCCTCCACCTCCGTCTCTCCTGCTGCTGCTACCTCCGCTGCCTGCCTGATCACCTCTTCCAGTGCAACTGCTGGGTGGGGGAGGCAGCAACAAGAGGCGCCTAATCGCATGTGACTGCTCCTTTGCCTCCGGCACCTGAGGGGGCAAGCCGTGAGCTCTGGAGGAGGCAATTGGGGAGCGGCGGCAGCGGCAAGAGGCACCCGAGCACATGCTGCTGCTCCTTTGCCTCTGCCTCCTTCCGTGTATAAAATGACCCTCAATTTTTCCTCTATTTTAAGGGAAAGTGTCATTTTATACACGGAAAAATATGGTACATGGGAATCATGGAAGCCTCTGGACAGAAGGAGGAAGTGTTTAAGTTCTAAAAGAAATCAATGTGTCTGATGGAATCATCAGCCTTGTGCAACATAGTTGTGAGAACAGGATTTCACTGTGTCATGAAACACAGAACCTGGAGTAATATGTTGGTGCTTTGCAGCTGAATGCACGATATTGTCAACTGACAGAAATTCATGATAACTTGAATAAGAAAGTTCAAATATTACTACTAAGAAGTTCCTCAGATTTTGTACAACAGTGGCATTAAATGATATAGTTAATCAGTGGTCTTGATTATTGTTTTTAGAAGATACCTAATGCCACTGTACAAGTTGTATAATCAGCACACTGACTAATTAATCATGTTAACTCAGAACATTCAGGTCCATGTAAGAGTCTAGAGTAAAAATAAGGGACTGGAACGTGACATTGATAATTTTCCTCAGAGAGAATGATATTACTTCCTTTAATATTTCTAGCCTCTGTATGAAATTATGTCCGCTAAAATAGCCAGCTAACCTCTTTATGCCTACAGGATATACAGGACAGAGAAATCATTTAATTCACTTGACTGAAACTGTTTAATGGTCTAGACTAGAGCAAGATACAGTAAAGGTGTTTAACAGAATTACCTTTGTCTGGAACACATAAAATGATATAAGGCCGAGACTTCTACTTCCTTCAGAGTCAGACTGACCATATATTATATTCCCAGTACTTCCTAATCTGCTATTAGGTTTTATGAGGGCAGATTGCTCAGCTAAATGTCACAGAGTTCATTCTACATAGATAATCCTTCCACCTGTGCATACTATTAAAGCTTATAATAGCCAGTTACATATATTATTTTGTATTAGAAGGAAAGGGTTATCCCAATTTTGTCACCTAGGGGCAATTTTTTTAAACAGTGGTTAACAAGCAAAGCACAAAGCACTAAAATGCATATCATGGAGCATAATCCTGAAAGAAAAATTTTAAACTGAATCATTTTTAGAAATTTTATTCCATGTATTTTCTAATACTTTCATTCCATCAAAGCCAAGTCCAGGGAGGCTTATAGAAACTAAACTTAAAATGTTAAATCCATAAGAGGGAATAATATTTTGTTAAAAGTCCTTTAAACATCAGAACTATAAAACCACAGAACAGAAGATTAAATTTCATTTTGAAACAGCATTTCCACCACCCTCCTAAAGGTCTGGAACAAAATCTTCATGAATGTCTGCAAGATAAAGATGGATCTAGGGTGGAAATAGCAGAAACTGGACGATCAGAAGGAGAAGCAGAAATGAGAGAAGATGGCATTCCAAAGAAAAAAGCTATAAGTTTAAAAGCCCTGCTCCTTATTACCACCAATCTATCCTTAGTCAAATCTAGGCAATGGAGTGCAATCTCATATGCTTCTCGTAACATAAAGAAACAAGAACAAGGGAAGATATATCCTCAAGTCACCTGGACTGAGAACTGACACTAAAGATCAAAAGCAGAACTTCAACTTCTGCTCAGAAACAGATCTGGAGCTACTACAGCTGTTATAGGAGTAGTGGAACACACTCCTTCCCCACCGGAGGCACATTAAAAGTATGACTCCATTTTTAACTAACTGGCATTTCCAGATTGCATCAAAGACAGCCTCACATGAGAAGGAAATATCTCCCAATCAAGAAATTTCAAGGGAAAGCTATGTTAATCTGCTACAGCAAAACCCAAGTTTTGCGGCATCTTAAAACCTATGGAGCTACAAGGTTTGTTGCTTTTGCTGATGAGAGACATGATCTTACCCCAAATGAAGCAAAACCACATAGCCAGATGGTTGCAATCTACCAGGAGGGGCAAGAGTCAACAGCACATATGATTGGTAAGGAGATTCAAAGAAATGTGCCCACCTTATCAGTGGAAATCAACTGGAATGGATTCTCTGATTGTGGACATCTGCTGTAACAAATTTATTCTCAATGTGGCATCCATGTCCTGTTGAGGACAGGACATTTTGGAGATCGATAATTCAGAGGGTTGCCATAAGTTGGAAATGACTTGAATGGCACATAACAACATCCACGTAAATGAAGGTCCAGTTCCCCCCCCCAACGTCCTGTCAATAATGATTCTATAAGATATGTCTTTCAAAGAACTGCCTATATTCAATTATAATGATGAACTAAGGGTTTGTTTGCTTTCTGCCAACCCAAAGAATTTGTCTTAACATTTGGCATGATTTCAGCCATCATGACTCTTGCTCTTTTTGCTCCATTGTCAATGACACCCCTGAATAGCCTAATATCAGTACATATAACATAAGCAAAAGTTACTACCAAAGTTACTCAAGTGAATTCTATATTCTAGACATAAACTATGTATTCAACAGAATATCTGCCTTCTCTCACTGAGCCTGTGAATCCATTATTACAGGATATTGTTTTCAATATCAGCACTAATTTCATTCTTAGGGTTTGTCTATATGTAGCGATTGGATTGGGCTGGATTAAGCTAAATTGGGTCACTAAGAGGTCCAGTATGCCATTTGGTGTGATCCTGGACCAACAGCAGCATACTGTCAATTCGCTAATCTCATGAAGTAAGTTAAGAAAGGAGCCACTTTACAATATTGGCAAATTAAACAGTTCCTCAGCTCTGTGGAGGGAGCTGAGGAAATGAAAAAAAAACTTATGTATATTAGAGCAGCAAATATGTGCTACATCACTTTAAAATATACAGGTAATACATACCTAATACAAGTACCTTACTTGTACTACACATACCTCATGCTGTTTTTAAAGAGATTCAGTGCATATTCATTGCTCCAGTACTCAAAATTAGTTTTCACTTCCTCCACTCCACAGAACCATGGAAGTGTTTAATCTTCCAATGTCATGAAATGGGTCTCTTCTTAAGCCACTTCATTATGTTGGCAAATGAAAAGAGGATTGCTGATTTGTTTCCAATGATTAAACATACTGGAAACAAACCAAAACAGAGTGCCTCTATGCACACCAAAAAGGCTGAAGCCCCTGACAGGGGCCAGAAAGGTGTGGATAAGACCACAAATACATAGTTTAACCAACGTCTTTAGAAATAAAACAACCTATGCCTGCAGTAGACCAGTGGGCTAAACACCCATTCAGTCAACCTTTTAGGCATGTTTATAAATAATTCCCAGAAAAAAGATTTCAAAATCCTCTCTTCATTTTCCTATAAAAGAAATGTTTTATATGACACTTAAGGACAAGACCTCATAAGACCACAAATACATAGTCTAACCAACGTCTTTAGAAACAAAACAACCTATGCCTGCAGTAGACCAGTGGGCTAAACACCCATTCAGTCAACCTTTTAGGCATGTTTATAAATAATTCCCAGAAAAAAGATTTCAAAATCCTCTCTTCATTTTCCTATAAAAGAAATGTTTTATATGACACTTAAGGACAAGACCTCTGTTACAAATGTTTTCCAAAGCACAGGGACTAATTTGCATAATTTCTGAATGTCATTAACACGCATAGCATAAATGATACCTCATTTTAAAAATTAGAGTATATTTCAGCTTGGAATACAGTCATATTCTGCTGGCTCCCAGTCTGTTTTCGGGCTTAGGTATTACATTTGCCAGATTATTAGAAAAATCAGCACCCTTCATATATAGCTAACCAACTGTTAGTATCATCTTCAGAAGCTCTTCTGCAGGTACTCATATCAAATGAAGTGAGGTAGATGACACTACCCACAGTGGTGGCACCCTGCTTACTTAACAAGTTGGCTTCCCTAGAAAGACTTGCTTAGTCTTTGCTTTGTGCCTATTTCTGGTGGTTCTTTATGGTCCTTAATCTTTACAAAAATGGCCTTGTTATCTTTCCTGATTTTTCAGATTAAGTGCTTTTAAATGTCTTTTCCCTATCACCTGACACCAGTTTTAATGTTTTAGATTTTATTTCTGAATTTTAATGTACTTTCAGTCCTGATCAAACAAAAATACGTCTTTGTAGTCTGAAAATATTTTAAAGAACAAACAAATGAAATTAGGTAAGAAAGAAAGAAAAATTCTGACCAGAGAACAACCACAGGAAGTACGAATGCTCTCAACCCCTGTGTCCATGAACAGTCCTGAAGCTGTGACAATGGAAGGTATTGAAAGGAACAGTACCATTACCCTTGCTACAAGTGACTAGAATCTCTCTCATCATGCTCTATTTTTTTATGATGTGCCAAACTTCACATTACCAGCCCATCATTGCAGAGTAATATCCACCTTTTTAATTTGTGGTGGATGTTATGATGCAATCATTTGAGTGGTAATATAGAATGCACCCTTTAGTTACTCTGCGATAAACACCTTCCAGTGAACTCACCCTTGGCATAGAAGAGGTTGTTAGACACATAGGTTAGAGCACTTTCAATCAGTGGCGATGACTGAAGCCAGATTTGTGGGGGGTCAAAAAGAGTTGGTGAGGATAGGTCACAGCCCAGGAACAGACAGCATGTTTAGTGATTTGGGAAATAAAAAGGAAAGAAGGAAACAGAAAGAGTTTGGCTTTAACAAGAGCCCAAAATACATGCTTCTTATAGACCTATATCTATAAATTAAAGTAGCTGATGACTCCACATCCATAAGCATTCTTCTATTAACATTATGAAGTCAAGAAATATTTGCATTTTACTGGCAGGTACTGATGTGAAGTCTTACAGAGACCCCTAACGCAGGCCTAAACACTTACCAGTATCAGAGAAAGACTTAACTTGGAAATAAAACTCAGTAAGTGCAATAATTTGTTTAAACCCATTTATTTTGAATCTGTAATCAGTTTAGAAACATTCCAAGTCTGTACATACAATATCAGACATAAATATTAAATAAGATTTTTCCCATAAAGATTTTTTTAAAAAGCTAATACTCGTATCTCCATTATCATAAGGAGGAACAACTCTTCTAACAGCACTACCGCATCCTTTTGCAGCACCTTATCCCTATTAAGCATCTTACAACCGCTCAACCACCCATACAATCAGACAATGTCACCTAAACAAAGATGGTTGTGTCAGCCTCCACAGATATATGATTGCCTCCCAATCTATAATGTTCATTTTTTAGCAACAGAAGGATTGTCAGATCTGATTTGAATAAAAAAGCATGGCCCTCACAGCACAGAATTTATTCTGTAATCCCCATGGCATACAACCACAGAAATGTGATTCCTTTTTTCCTGTCACAAATTCATTGTTCATCATTATGTAAGGCATCAACTTGCTCTTCTGCTCTTCTGTTTAAAAAATTATCTGTGTCAGATATGTTCCCATCTGGTAGTCTTATGTTGTAACCAAAGCTGCTGACATACCTAAAATAGTGAGGGCCAAAATGAACAGAAAGGGATGCATAAGAAATTTCCATTCAGACATACCTGCATTTCACTATCTGCTCGAAGATTAAGCTCTTCACAGCATTCCCTGGATATTCGCAAAAATATATACTCTTTTGTTTTTTCCTCAATAGCTGCTTCATACACCTTCTCTTTGGTTCCTTGGGTCAGTACTGACTTCTCTTTAGTGACTGGCAATAAATAAACAGCATTGACTTTGGTCATCACCAGTCGCCCTGCCAAAGTGTCTTCAGAAAGCGTCTCAGTGAGCTTAAATCGTCCAAAAAGTTGTCCATTTTGGGCATACTTTGCACCTCCAGAAACACCGGTGAGCATGAAGCTTGCTACAATCTGCAATTGCACTTTTATGTTGAACCTAAACCAGAAAGCATGCAGTTAGTTCTGTAGAAAAAGAATGGGCTTTCTTATCCAGCAGAAACAGCAGAACAAAAATTGGAACTATAGATGATAAAAAAAAAGATTTCTTGCAGGGCTTTTTGAAGAGGGATATTAAAACAGCCAAGAACTGGGCTGAGTGGCTAGCTCTTTATTCTATGTCATTTTCCTAACCAAAACTGTGCATGTTCCATGTTACTATTTTATCCCTCAAGAAAAACCTCAGTTTCCCTAGGTTTTGGTTCATGGAGGCTTTACACTTGTCATTTTCATGTGGGCAAAGTCACAATGGAGTGAAGGTTGCTGAAATCTCCTTACAAATTTAGCTAAGCATTATATTAAATGTCTGAATAGGATTCTAGTTGCACTCAAATTGGTGCAGAAAGCTCATGGTAAATACATTTCATATGGCAAATACTGTAATATGTATTCCAAAGTTGTAGAATAGCCTAGCATTCACCCCAAATATTCGATCGTAAATCTATAATTTCTGCGTTAGTCAGACATTTAGAATAGTTTCATTGCAATTTAGAAAATCTGTTTTCACTATAACTAGTACATAAGATCCCCTTCATGGATTGCTGCCTTGTCGTGGCGAAGGGGCTTGAGTAACTCAGAAAAGCTATGGGCTATGCCGTGCAAGGACACCCAAGATGGAGAGGACATAGCGGAGGGTTCCAACTAAACGCAATCCACCTGGAGTAGGAAATAGCAATGCCACTCCAGTATCTTTGCCAAGAATGCCCCATGATCAGAAACAAAAGGCTAAAAGATATGACGCTGGAAGATGGGCCCCTCAGGTTGAAAGGCGTCCAACATGCTAGTGAGGAAGAGTGGAGGACAAGGACAAGTAGCTCCAGAGCTAATGAAGTGGTTGGGCCAAAGCCGAAAGGACGCTCAGCTGTGGACATGCCTGGAAGTGAAAGGAAAGTCCAATGCTGCAAAGAAAAATACTGCACAGGAACCTGGAATGTAAGATCTATGAACCTTGGGAAGCTGGAGGTGGTCAAACAGGAGATGGCAAGAATAAACATAGACATCCTGGGCATCAGTAAACTAAAATGGACAGGAATTGGCGAATTCAGCTCAGATGATTATCATATCTACTATTGTGGGCAAGAATCCCATAGAAGGAATGGAGTAGCCCTCATTGTCAACAAAAGAGTGGGAAAAGCTGTAATGGGATACAATCTCAAAAATGATAGAATGATGTCAATACGAATCCAAGGCAGACCTTTCAACATCACAGTCATCCAAGTTTATACACCAACCACCATTGCTGAGGAGACTGAAATTGAACAATTTTATGAAGATTTACAACATCT